TTTTAAGGACCCGCAGATACCCTGAAACTGGTTTTAGTTGGTGGAAATCCTACAGAATAAAGTGTATTTTGCAGCAGAATAATAAGATTTGCACACATCTCTGAAAACTGACACGTAAAGGAGCTGAAGTGTCTTAAATCCAAGAGGTAATCTGATATAATCTAATAACAGCTTCATGTTTCAGTCACAAACATTTGCACTACTACTCATTTGTATAATCTGAGCAATCATTTGCTCTGTTACCCTTTTTAACCTTTAAAATTATTCTGCTGTTTTTGTCTCCGAGTTTTCGTCTCTGAGTGCAATAATCTGTGTTAATCTGAGCCAACAGACAAGCTTCTGTGGTTTGATATGTTTCTTTGTAAAATAAAAGGKTTTATAATCTGCAGAGAGAAGTGTTTAAAGGAGCAGCTGGACTGATGTACCTTTATGAGGTGCTTGTTGACCCACTTGGTGAAGGTTTTCTTCTGGACTCGGTCCCGCTCATCTGAGGACACAGAGAGATTAGGGTTAATTAATAAGAGGGTTAATTAATACATTAATTAAACAACAATAAACAGGAAGTTGTGCTCTGATGAACGAACCCAGGTTTGTCTTTAAAGTCACTTCATTGTTTTTATTCCTGAGGGGTCTCCTGACTAAATGAAACATTGATTTTTCAAACAGGACCTGTTAATCTGTGCAGATTAGATGACATCATCAGCTGGCGTTTGACTGATGAAGGTGTTTTCTGTGAGACTGGACGGAGAGCAGCACACTCTGAACTCTCAGACCCTCTTCAGATCTCTAACAGAGGTGTGAGCTCCACCCGGACCAGGTCCTCCACAGTCCAGAGGACTGAGGCAGCCGGGCCAGGAATAGAGACCGGCTCTGAGCCGGGACTTTATCTTCCTCCAGAACCAACAGAGCTGGAGGCAAAAACAAACTGACTTCTCCCTGAAGAATCCTGAAAATGTTAGCTTSTAAAACCTGAAGATTATTTTTCCCTCCAGTTGAGCAGATTTATTCCCAGCCAATCAGAAAGCAGGTTGTTGCAGGCCCCTCCCTTCCTGTGGCAAAGCCAGTATCACTTCCTCCTTGAAACATCTTATCTCTCAGCCCCTCGGAGCAAACACAAACAGAATTCCACAGATATGCCTCAGACTGGGACCTGTAATCTGGATTAATCTCTGGCTCCACGCTGCAGCTCTAATGCCTCACGTGGAGATTTATTGGTTTTTTTTTTTATGAGTTCACTTTGAGGGAAACCCCCGAGTGAGAACAGACATTTCAACATCTCTTCACAAATAGTTTCAGGAYGTCACCACGCCTCGGCTGTCAGACCTGACCGAGCAGCTGAGCCGGTTCACCCGGAGGATCGAGCCGGATCCTGGACCTGATCGGGTCAGAGACGCGTTTACACCAGGCTGGATTAGACCAGCTGAGATCGTCACTTTTACACAACAACAGAGCCCAGCTGTGATGAGCTCACTCCTCCACAGAGGAGCACTGTCAGCTGACCACACCCCCTCCCCTCCTCCCCTCCTCCACACTGACCTGCGCAGCACATGAGCGACAACAGGTGAGCGTTCAGGTGCCGTTCACTCCTGTAGTCGGCCCACATGGTCCTGGACTCAGGCTGTGCTCTGCAGCATAATCCCAGCAGGAGTCAGATTATAGCAGGAGACGTCACGCAGCAGCAGGTTCGACCAGTTTGAAGGAGTCTCTGCTCCTCTTCCTCCTCTTCCTCTCTGTTTCCCTCAGCTCCTGCCGTGACGCCCGTCTGGCCTGCAGCTCTCACAGATTTCAGTCCCTCAGTGTTTCCAGCAGCTGCTGCCCCACGTGTGTCAGTGACAGCCAGAAGCCCCGCCCCCTGGACCGCCCCCTCCTCACCCCTCTGACTGTTCTCTGCGGGCGTGTTCAGCTGAGACACTTGTTATCYGGAGGACACGGTTTATGTTCAGTAAATCCACACTTTGATGATGTCATCCTCCCAAAAACACAAAAAGCCTGCGAGCCTCGCTCTGAAGACACAAAGCAGACACACAATCTGTTTCCTTCCTGTCCTTCAGAGGAAAACAGAGTCRACAAACCCTCAGGTTCTGCAGAGGAGAAGAGAGCAGGGCTGGACTCTGGTCCTGTCAGAGACTGAGAGTTAATTTAATCAAAGAGATAACGGAGCTTCAGCTCATCAACGTGTCGGAGAACATGAGGCTTTGGATCCACGCTGAAACAACAACCTGGTTTCTATAAAACAGAACTTCTTCTGCCTCTAAAAAGGTTTTCAGGAGAAAAAAAAACAAGCTTTGAGAAGACGAACATCTTCAGTCCTGCTCCAGTTCCAGGTCAGTCCATGAATCTGTGCTCTCAGGTTCCTCATCTCCTTCGTGAACTAAAAATAACCGACGGAGCTCTAATCCTCATTCCGTTTTCACCTCTAATCTCTGTCCCGCTGCTCTGCCTTTTCTCCTCTCGTGATCAGATTAAAGTTACGAGGAGGAGGGACGCTTCCGGAGCTCCTGTTTTCCTCTGATGGAGCAACGAGAAGAAACAAAGAGGACAACTGTTTGTAGACGGRGGACACACCGGTCCAGTCTGGGGTCCGGCAGGAGCTAAAGATGAAACTGTCTCCCTGACTCAGGTCCAAAGGGTCCAGCTGTCTCGTCCATCAGATTAGGATCAGAACCCACCTGTCCCTCCGGTGGACACAAAACAAACACCTCACAGGTTTAACTGGAGACACACAACAATCTGTTAAATTAGCTTTAGCTACTTTCAGGTTTTAACTACTTTAGCTCCATGTTAGCCTTATGATACTTTTAGCTAGCTTGCTTACTTTTAGGTCTTAGCTACACTTTTTGCCTTCTGTTTTGTTAGCCTTTTGCTACATTTAGCTTTTTGATACCATTTTGCAACTTTAGCTTTTGGCTAGCATTTTGCAACTTTTTGCTACTATTTAGCTAAACCTTTGTTTTTTTAGCTTGTTTTTAGATAGATTTGTGCTACTTTTAAAATTTAATTAGCCTTTGGCAACTTAAACTACTTCTAGCTAGCTTTATAAACTCTTAGCTTTTAGCTACCTTTTTGATAACTTTAGTTATTCTGACCTAATACCTTTAGCTTGTTGTTACATTAAGCATTTCATGAATATTTTGTCTCTTCAGCTTTACCATTTTGCAGCTTTAGCTTTTGGCTAGCATTYTGCTACTTTTTGCTACCATTTAGCTAATTTGGGTTTTGCTTCTTTGAGCTTGTTTTTAGATAACTTTGTGCAACTTTTTATTAGCCTTTAACATACTGGTGTTTAGCTTTAGAAACTCTTAGCTTGCCTGCTAGTTATCTTTTAGCTATTTGAGCTAGCCTGTTGTTACATTTAGCATTTTGTGACTATTTCGTGTTTTCAGCACTGCTAGCCTTTTGCTATGCTAGTAGGGTTGTGTATTGGCAAGAATTTGGCGATACGACACATATCATAACAGAGGGGTCACGATACGATATAACCCGATATATTGCGATACTATAAGCAAGGCGATATATTGCGATTTTTTTGTCCAAAAATTCTATTAAATAAAAACCCTCTTACTGGGAAAAAAAAAAACTAACGAAAAACCAAAATTCATTGTCTCAGAAAATTCTAATATTACATAGACATRCTTTTGATACATTTAGCTGTGTTCTGCTTTGTATGTRTTTTATTTTAATTGTTTCATATTTCTTATTTCATCCATGATTTCAATTATTAGACTAAATTTGACAATAAATAGTTTGAAAATATATTATTTGCAGCTTTTAGTTTTTAATATTAATTTACAATATGGTCACCCAACACTTAACAAAAGCCTCTACCCCAAGAGGTAGATTAGCCAAATGGCTGGCTCACTGCTGCCAACTAGTGGTCAGAGACTGAACTACAACATAAAAATGAACGGCTGGCAGGAAAGTTGACATTTTAAACCTTAATAAAAAATTAATGCAGGGCTTTAGAATATCGATACAGTATCGGGACATGAAATATCGTGATATTTCAGTGTATCGATATTTTCTTACACCCCTATATGTTAGTATTTTGTTTACTTTAGCTTTTAGCTCATGTTCTTATCTAACCACCAACAAAGATGCAGCTTTTCTACAGGAGTTGTAATTATTTTATGATCTTTGTATTTTTTATATTTGTTATATTTTATTAATTTGTTGATATTTGGATATTTTCTAATCTGCAGCATGTTTATAAGCTAATTACCTCAATAATCTGAGGGATTAATAACTAACAACTCACAGAGGAGAGATTAGTAAATTCACAGAAAGCTTTTAACCACAGTCTGTTAACAGTTACGTGTTGTACCCACCCTGTCACGCCAGGCCTACCAGAGCGACAGGTTCTACTTCCTGTCATCAGAACCGAAACATCATCATCATCATCATCATCATCACACTGCAGCTGAGACGACCCATCCAGAACCAACCCAACCAGAAAGCCTGAATCTGAAAACCACAACACTACACAACATGTTTCATTGTGAGATGCTTCACAACTTCACACTGAGATCATTTTTTTCTTCTGCACATTTTCAGCATCTAACTCGTTCCACAGTTTTTGTGTTATTTCAGCCATTCGTATATGAAAACATTCAGCTCATTCGTGTGAGGGGTGCTATGACTTTTGGTATTTCAGCTTTTTATACTTTTTTTAGATTTTTTTGCCACTGAAAATTAACGGAGCTGTTTTCAACATCTTAACATCCGTTAAAATGTTTCTAAATCTTTACACACCTCATCAATTTTTGTTCTAGTTCTGTTCTTTTTCATCTTCTTGTACTGATTTTAGCTACTTTATTTGCTAAATTTAGTTTTTTTCTGCTATTTCAACTAGCTATTTCAACTTTTTTCAGCTAAAGTTAGCAAGCTTGTGCTCCTTGTGCTAATTAAACAATTTACAGCTACTTCTTAGCTGTTTTACTGTAAATTTCAGCTGTTTTAGTTATTTTACTRCAAATGATCCCTTTTATGTAGTTTTATGATTTTTCCTGATGTTTTTTTCTGTTTTAGCTATTTCTCAACTATAACTATTTCAACTGGGTGCTAATTTCAAATTGTGGCTACCACCTTTAGCTTATTTTATGCTAATTTTAGCTATGTTATGCTACTTTAGATATAGTTTTGCTTCTTTCTGCCATTCTTCTGCTTTTTTCTACTTTTTATGCTTTTTTCTTACAGATGTTTTCAGCTATTTTAGCTTTTAGCTGTTTTCTGTTTTGAACTACATTTGAACTCCCTTTTACTGTTTTTTTTGCAAAGTTGGTTTTTTTGCTTCTTTTAGCGTTTCAAAGTGAGCTCACATTAACACTTTTCCTATTAAATATTTTCAGCTCAATTTCAGCAGCTTTCAGCTTCACCCCTGAGGCACCTTTTAAAAAATTACACATACATACTAGTGTTACAGTGTAATAA